CCCCCCCCCCCCCCCCCCACAAAATGTGTGGCTATTATGCATTATAATAGCCACACATTTTGTGGGGGGGTTACGGCGGGGTTGGGGCGGGGTGCAGGGATGGGGGTAGGGTGGAGGGTTTAGGGGGTGGATTAGTGGGGTAGGAACCGTCAATTTTACGAACGGAGCATCGGAGGTGCCCCAAAAACCCAGTGGCAACGGAGTGGCAGCGTTTTCCGGTGTCATTGGAACCGGAACGTTTATAATATTCGTTTCGATTTGTTCGTTTTACAACCCTACTCAGGGTTAGTGCTCCTTTTCTTTTGGTTATATCTCTGCCACGGGCTGGGTTACGAACGAATGACCGTTCTTTCATTTGAGAGAGTCACAATTGTGTTGCCCAATCACATGGTCTTTGATCAATTTAAGTGTTTCCATTTATCTAAAAGGAGTTTTGGTGTCATTTACCAGTCTTTTTAAAAAATTATGCAAATTTACCTAAAACTTTACAATTTACACCAATGTCCCTTAAACTTTTAAAAATGATGTGCCAGCAGTCCCTATGTTTCAAATTTGGGAGTGCGTTAATGAAATGCTCATCAATATGCGTGTTGTAGCTTCATGAAAACTAGTATCACACCCGTGCGTTGCACGGGTCATTTTAAGTTATTAAATTCAAATCATTTTTTAATGATAAAAAATGAGATGCAATAGAATATATAGATTATATTATTTTAAGGTACAAAAAATTACTAATTTACAATCTTAGAAAGACTTCTTTATAGACTATATTATTTGTACAATTTGTGTGAATATTGTCTTCATTGCATATCAAAATCTTCAACCCACTACGATTAGTTACTTTTGAAACTGTAACATAGAGTTGTTCATGACTAAAACATGTTGGATTATTGTTACGGAAACCTGTGATAAACCCTAATTGCTCGTACTTTCATCATTAACATTGATAATCTCTCATCAACATTTTTCAAAGCAGTTAAAATCCTCATTTTCGTAGGAATGACAGTTTTAAAACGTAAGAGAAAACAATTCACGATGAATGTAATGACTATGAAAGCTTTGTGCGGAGTTACCTTTTTTTTTTAAAAAAAAACACACACACATACAAACTTGCTTGGTAGGGAAAGTGATAATAAATTAAAGAAAAGTCAATACAGCAAATGTAATTTAGGGGGTGCGTGGTGTTGTTATATGGTGGGTGCAATAAAAGTTTCACCTGCTTTGTCTATGTGATATGACCAAGTCTACTCTAAACCTCCCCCATGTTCAAAACAACTCAAAAGTAATTAAATGCACCATTCTATTCCTTCCCTCTCAAAAAGAAATTTCATGATCTCATGATCCAACCACATGTAAAATTTCGTGACTCTTGAAATGAATTTATTTACTAATTGATGTAAAAATTAAAAATCAAAGTTGCATATTTAAAAATATATATCAAGAATTCTATAAAATAAGATGTAACAAAACTATTTTATTTTATTAAATGATTAACGAAAATTTGCAAACAAACAAAAGTTATCGAGTAGCCGTAATAGTGAAGCGATAAATCATTTTGGGACGTAGGGAGTATCTACTGTCTTAGGGTTGCACTTATTGTGCCCTTGAGAGCGTCAGAGAAGTGCAACGACAAATGAGTATAGATGTGTTGCTTGTGCATTACTACCTTTGTCTTAAAACGTCATTCGCGTTTCTGTTTGTGAAGTTTGACAGACTTTATTTTCAATTCAATTTATTTGATTGTATTTTGGTAGGTGAAAAATTAAAAAAAAAAGATTTATATATTTAAAAAACTACATCAAAAGTTTTACAAAATAAGAGGTGACAAGACTATATTATTTTATCAAATAAATAACGGAAATAGGTAAAGAAAATGATTAAAGTTTGACCATATGAATACTAACTATGAAGAACGTTTTATGATAGAGATAGCATTAATTTATATTTTTTGAATTTGCGACTATTTTCTTAACCGTAAAAATTATATTGTCTTAATACTGAATGTGTGACTTTTACTTAAAATATTACATCAATATTTAAATAATTTAATTTGAAAATAAGTTTAGTCATCCATTATAATCCAAAGAAGGATGAAATATACGAAATACTATTTTCTAGAGTATCTTTAATGAGGATAATAAGAGTTAAAGGGTGAAAGAGACCACCCTCACGGGCCTTACACTATAAGCTTAGGTTCCCATACTTGCACCCATATTAAAAGCCCGGCCCAATGTAAAGCATGATAGGATAGACAAAAACGTACTCCTATATCTTTTAAAACATATTCCCTCCGTTCATGAGTATTTGTCCACTTTTAATTTTTTTTGGTCAAAATTATTAAACTTTGACCTCAAATTAAATAAAAATGATATTAGATATTGATACAAAAACAGTTTTATTAGATTTATTATATCAAATATTTTTTAAAATATTATTTTATCTAATTAATATACAATATATATTTTATTTAATTATAGGTCAAAGGTTGAAAATAGTTGACCGAAAAAAGTCAAAACTGGACAAATACTCAGGGACGAAGGTAGTAATCCGTATCACGTTTGATTTGATACCCAAGTCGAAGAATTCAAAAATAAAATAAAATTATGTGGTTGAAAATGATGTAAAAAAAGAAAATAATCTGCATTATCTACATTTTTGGGTGAAACTGTATCCTTTCCCAAAACTGCTAAATCCACACACTCTTTTAAATTTGATATTTTGCATCTAGACTGTGGATTTAACAAATTTGATTGGAAAGAGTGAATATAGTCATTTTAATTATTTTTATATATGATAAAATATGAGTAAAACTTATTAAATAAATGATGAAAAGTAATCTATTTTAAAATTTAAAGTCAAAAGAGAAAGGATTAAATTACTAGTCAACACTAGTAAAATTTGTATAACAAAGGTCCACAATTAGCACAAGTGTGTGAAAGGCATATACTCCCCATTTATGTTAGGAGGATTACATCATAAATTTGACTAGATGCAAGTCTACGGGGGGTATAACTGTACTCTATATTATATACTATGGTTAGATTGTTGTTACCATTAATGAAGACTAGTATTTATGTGTTCAATTCCTTTCTTATAAACTAACTTAGATGACGTAGACAATGTACAAAATGAGGTAATATAAAAGTTTTTTTTTGAATTTCAACTAATTAAAATTAAATACATATTTCCCTAATCATTACAAATAATTCAGACGCTCAATCCATCAATTTATGGTGAAGTCTCCATAACATACATATTTTTTACTCACACACATTCGCGTATGCGACAACCATCAAATCTTGTCAAGCCTGCCTCTCTCAAAACTCTATAATTAAATAAAATCAAAATAGGCCTTAAAGTATTAAAATCAGAACCTTGCTATAAAATTTTTTCGAAATAAAAAAGACAATGATAGGGATACATCAAAATAAGGTATTTCATTTGTATATCAAGCAAAAAAGACACACATATACGATTTATGTCTATACACACATAGATTTTGAGGGTGTATTTTGGTGAGCAAACAAGATATGAGTTTTGATATCTTCAGATATCAAAATCTTTTTTTGCTGTATGGTGAAACTAAAAGAGATATCAAATTCGGTATTTTCAGATATCATAAATTCTTCAAATGGAGGGTTTCGATATCTCACGAATTTGAAAGATATTAATATGGGGGTTTGATATCTCTCTCAGCAGTTGATCATTCTTCACCACTGGCTACCATTGTCACCACTAACCATCCCCGTTATCGATCCTCCACTTATCAGTAATTAAATTATGATTTCAAATATTTTTCTATTTTATCTTGCTGTAGAAATATGGTACCCATTTTGGGATACCTCAAAATCACGCGGAGATCCATTGGGAATTAGGAGCTGAACTGGAAATGGCGCAAAGGTCGTTCGGATACCAAATCGGGTCAATCTAGCACCGTCGTCACTGGCTTCCCAATCCCACGGCCGCCAAATTGCCCGCATTTTCCGCCGCCGGCAACCCCCTACTAATGTCGAAGAACAAACTTTGCTGCCGTTGGCGGCGGCTCCTTCTTTGCCTGCCTCTCCTATTCCTTCTGCATCATCTTGTTTCAGGTGATCGGTTTCTTCCCCTCATTATTATTGCTATTATTTCGATATTGCTATTAATCTCATCAAATAGTAACCTCAAAGCTGATTCTTTTTCCTTCAGTTTTGCGTTTGCAGAAACATAACCGGAAGTTCCCGGGAGATGTGCCATGTGTGGAAGGGGCGAACGAGTTGAAGAAGAAGATGAAGTTTGATCATCTGGTTCTGGGACCTGCCGCTGGTCAAGGTTTACGCGACCGCCTGCATTGCCAAGGTAAGGTATTGTTTCTCTGTCTTTTTTCTGGCCAATTGATATGCTCATTCAGAAGTTTATGGTGTTAATCTGTGACTGCACAACTGGAAAATCATATTCTGTTCAAGTATAGTATTTTTTGAATGATAGCCCTAGATGAGCTAAATGTTTTGCTAAATCTTCTATGTATCGTTCCAATTTTAATGTTTCGCTAAGTCTGCTCACCCTTTGATGTGGCATTGCATAAGTAGAGGTTGGGTTGATCACATTTCGTGTAAGGCTTCGTTAGATTTGTCTTATGTGAGTACTGTTTGAGCATGAGCTTATAATATGAGCTTCTATGAGATGAACTTTTATTGAATTGTGTTTTTGTTTCTTCAATGAAAAATACTTTAGAATCAAAAGCCAAAATCTTTTCTTTCCTTTTCTCCCAAAGTACACAAATTTGGAAGCAGAAGTGCTGCCAGTAGAAGAAGACCGGTAGTAGCATGTTGGACACTAACCGTTTGATATGGTCGGACTGTCTAAATTTTTTCCACTTTTGAATGTCTGGCTCCACACTTTGTTCCGGATTCCACCTTCATCTAAGGATCACCCATTTATCAGATTGGAAGGCTCGTGTGCGACCCACACATTGCCTTTCTTCTTTGAGAGCCTGAGAGATAGCAACTCTACTCTAAAATATTTGCTTTTGTGAGTAGAGGTAAAATGACTTCTGTTTCTCCCAAAAGTATTTTTTAACAGTATTTTGTTACTTGTAAATTGAAAGTGATTATAGTTAAGCATGAAGACAATCACTTAAGTCCCGTTTGCTTTGAGCCCAGTGTTCTCTTGGAGACAACCTCTCTACTTTCCAAGCAGGGGAAAGATCTGCATACACGCAATCTCCCCAGATCCCACCATGTTGCAATTTCACTGGGTGTGTTGTTGTAATGAAGACAATCACTTACCCCAAAAAATTTCATCCAAACATATTCTGAATTGTGTGAAGCCACATCAGATGGAGAATTTCTTTTCGTCCATCTACCATTGTCTTTTTATGCCGTTTAGAAATTTCTTATCTCGACCATTCATTTTGTGGCCATTTATGATCATTGGCACATTATCTAGTAAGAAGTAAGAAATGCTCATGTGTGTTTTATATATATTGGTGACTGAATTATATAGGTAACAAGGCTCTCAACAGAACACACTCCCCGACTTCTGGAAATTCACTTTTCGGAGATAATGTTTCTTTAGTTACTGTATTTGCCACTTATGACGCTCCTGTTGATAGTCAAAGTAATGACAGATTAGCAAACATGGTTACTGTTGGGAATGTTTCATACAGCAAGATGGAGAGGTCAATTGCCATCTTAAATGTTTTTATCAATTTCATTCAGGTAAATGCATGTGTGATATTTGGGAAACATGACTTTGCACCCCGTCGTTTAACCCCAATTCTGATTTTGTAGCCCATGTTTTAAATCCTCCGATAATATATGTCGTGCACACATTAAAATACTCTATCTTTTCTTGTTATCTCATCAGTAATATATATGCAGGCGACCATGCCGCGAAGCAGCATAATTATTCTTACTGATCCTTCTACTCAACTCCCAGTAAAAAGGAACAAAGTTTTTAGTCATCCTATTCAAGGTGAATATTCACGAGACAAGTTGATGCTTCAAAGAATCAGGTCCTACATTGTAAGGGCACAATCCAATATAGTGAAAATGATATTTTATTTCTTCTGGGATATTTGTGCACTAGGAGTTTCATCATTTAAGAAATTTCACTAGTTGCCATTAGTCAATTGAGAAGCGTTTCTTAAATGCAAGGATTTATCCAATGTAAGGATGGCTTCTTCATAGCTTTTCTTTTAGGGTCAGTTCAGAGGGAACTTCAGGGACTTTCAGAGGGTTTTGGTGGGGAATGCTTGGGAGGAGGGCTTAGTCTATAACTTTATAATGTGATGTTTGTAAGAACAAATAAATGTAAATTAAAATGTTTTATAATTGCTTTTAGGCTATTCTGTCAATTTTTACACAATCTCAAATATTAATCAAGATGTAGACTTACAACAACAACAACCCAGTTAAATCCCACAAGAGTAGGGTCTGGGGAGGGTGTGTGTACGCATACCTTACCCCTACTTGAAAGTAGAGAGGCTGTTTCCAAAGAGACCCTCGGCTCAACGTCGAAAGTTGCATTGCTTGACTAACTGCTACTTCATTAATTAAAGAAGCGCAAACAGTTTAGAGATCCATTTTGATTTATTCCATCACACCCCAAAGCCAAACAATGGTGAAATCCCTCAGTCCCAAAATGAAGTTTATACTTTGACAGAGTGTAAGAAAAATGTTGAAGACTTAAAAGTGTGTGGCTGAAATTTGTTTAGAAGAGATACAAAATGTGGTGAGCCACAAATTTCTTTTCCTTAATAGGAAAGTGAAGAAGTGTAAATTTTATTTTGGGACATTTCTAAAAGGAAAGTATAAAATTCAATTTTTTATTTATCTTTTCCCATATCTAATTATTATTGATAGTAAATCCAACTTTGACAGCAAATTTTTATGAATGCATACCTTCTGTTTGCTTAATCAATTCCTTCTTGCAGATATTCCTTCAAACAAGATATAAGGAAAAGTCTAGGTTGCAGGGGAAGGTTAATCACTATATTTTTACAGACTCAGATTTAGCAGTTGTTAGTAATCTGGGACAGATTTTTGAGGACTACCCTAATTTTGATATTGCTCTTACCTTCCGTAACAACAAAGATCAACCTCTAAACTCAGGATTTATAGCAGTTCGAGGCACTCCAGATGGAATCCTTAGGTGTGTCATTTTGTTCTTGAAAGAGATAGTGGGCCCGTTTGGCAACATCTTCAATGTTGGGCTTTAGCGTTTTGAAAAAGCTTTTTAATGGCTATGTTAACTTTTGTGTTTCCAAAGTTAATCTACACCATTAAGATATTATTCAAAACGCTAACGCTAATTGAAAACGTTGTTCCCAAACAAGGGTGGTGTTTGCTTGTTTGAAGTTTGAACCGTGGGAATGGATTAATTATGGGGCATTTGGTTGTTTGCACACTAAAATTTTGCATGTAATCCATCGGGTCCAACCTTTATGTTTCAAAAATCATAGTGTATGGTTTAATTAGGTGAGCAATCTTTAAAATCGCATGCAGAGTAACTACTACCCCTTTAGTTTCCACTGTGCATAGTGTTCTGTGATCCTCCCTCCAAGCAAAATATTTTACATGTTATACAGCCAAATGATTTTAAAAAGTACATATCCTAACGTGAAGTGTCTATTTATCATCAGGCATAAGACCCCCAACTCCCCAAGCATTTTAGGAATTAAATTGTTTTGATTCTACATATTAACTTTGCACTAAACACATCTCATCATCCTCAGCTCCTCAAAAGCCAACAGGTTGGGAATGATGGCATGATATATAGTCTGTAAATTTTCAAAAATTAGGTAACACGAAAAAATCGTTTAAAAAAGAAGGAAAAAACTTAGCGACGAAGTTTCATGTGGGATACCCTTTATGAGTTGGTCAGGAATATTGACTGGCTTTCTCATCATTAATCTCTAATCAGTTCTAACCTCTTTTCCTGCAGGGCTAAACATTTCTTGCAGCAAGTCCTAGAAATTTATAGTACAAGATATTTGAAAGCTTCCAGAATGCTTGGAGATCAATTAGCTCTAGCATGGGTTGTTTTCAAGTCAAACCATTCATTTGATGCCCGAAGATTTACTCGCGGACAGCCATTCCTAGACAAAATCAATGGGGCATCCGTTTTATTTCTACCTTGTGCCTTGTACAATTGGACCCCACCCGAGGGTGCTGGTCAGTTCCACGGGATGCCCCTTGATGTTAAGGTACCTTTCCTATCAGTATCTTCTTAAAGCTTTTTCGTGGTTCAGTCTTTCTTAGGAAGTCACAGAGGGAAAGGCCACTGTTTGTTGGTTCAAAATAGCATAATGATCCTAAACTCTGATTCATCATTTTAAATTCTTGCATATATATATATATATATATATATATATATATATATTAGTGTTTATACAATAGACGACAACCACAACAACAAAAACAACAAACCCAGTAAAATCTCACAAAAAGTAGGGTTTGGGGAGGGTCTATGCACGCAGACCTTACACCTACTAGGTAGTAGAGAAGCACTTCCAAAGAGACCTTACAAGAGAATAAATAAATACGTAAACGAATAAGGTTGAAACACATTTGAAACAAATTTATTGAGTTTGGACTATCTTTTTTTCCAAGAAAATGTATTTCCTTCTAAATTTCCCTCTCTATTTTCTTTCCATAGTATTCCCTGTGTTCCAAACAGACCATTAATAAAGAATGAAGTGGGTACATGCTCATTGAAAATTCTTCTGTACTTCTATTACAGGTAATTCATTTTAAGGGGTCAAGAAAGCGACTTATGCTCGAGTCATGGAACTTCTACAATTCGTCGTCACTCCCATCACCTCAGAAACTCTCCGATATGTTATGCCTCATTTTAAGAAGCGGTCGGACGAAGTATGATTTTTAAAATTTGAATTTATAGCAGATTTATCGGTTTGAGCGGAAGGGGTTTCTTTTATGTAAATTGTGATCTAAAGAGCCAACTTCCATTGTCAAATGCAACCAGTCTGTACTGTCTTCCTCATGTGTGAAGACACTTGTTTTGGTCTGGAAAAAGAAGCCATCCTTTTGCCTTTTCACTCTCATGTATGGCAGTTCAAATATTGTGTTGGATTCTTTCTCAATGTTAATATTTCCTCTGTTCCAAAATGAAGTTTACTGTTTGACTTTACGTAATCTAAGAAAATTGTGGTTGAAATTTGTGTAGAGAAGGGTGAAATTTTACGAGTTTAATCATACCCGAGTATGTGTTTTTATAGTCAAAGGTCATGTTTGGCATCAGCGTTAGCGATTTGAAAAGACTATCTGGCGATAACTTTCAGTGTTAGTATTTTTGAATTAATCTACACTGTTAATATTTTATCTAAAATGTTAACGCTAAATGAAAGTGTTCTTTCCAAACAAAGCCAAAGTTAAAAATAAGCACGGATTTAAAGTAAGAAAGTGTAAACTTTATTTTGATACAATCTAAAAAGAAAGTGTAGAGTTCAATTTGGGACGGAAGAAATATACTGACTGCAAGTTATAAAGAATTTTTTTTGAAAGAAGTTATAAAGAGTATTTAATTAGGGCTTGTTCTTTAAATCTTAATTTTAATTAGAGTTTGAAAACGAGTTACTATATGGTACATTCAGATGTACCTAGAGATAGGTACATCCATGTAGTACTCATTCCGAAATAAAGTAGTACTCATTCTCGCACAAGCATAATAGTTCATTTGAAAAATGTGGTACTCATTCTGAAATAACGCAGTACTCATTCTGAAATAACGTCGTATTCATTTTCACAAATTTATTCAATATTCATTTACGTATAACATAAAATTCATTCTAAAACACATTAGTACTCATTCCCATATAACCTAGTACTCAATCTCAACCTGCCATTCATATCATATAATACTGAATAAACTGGAAATCGCGAAGAAAAAATGCAACTGGAATCGCGAAGAAAAAATCGGGAGCAACTGGAATCGCGACTTCACATATCCAAGCAGGCTGTCGCTGATCAGACCTTCATCCTTCAATTGCCGATCGGACTTCCAAACAATCTCCATCTTCATCGTGAATCACCGATTGGACCTTCGCGCAGCCTAGTAAATCGCCGATCGATCGCGCAACCTGCTTCTCCTTCATGGTCGGCCGTTCTTGCAGTGGCGTTTGCCCTAATTAGTTGCCGGATGTATGGTATAATTTGCGTTTGAAAACTGAAGTCTATATACCACTTTATTTTAACTAATAACTTCTTAAATTCGGAATATAATAATTGAAGTTTAGAAATTAGAATTCGAGTATTAGAAAATGAACTGTTATGTTTTCTTTTATGTACGAATATAATTGCAGATTTTTTTTGGGTGCAAATTTAAGTCCAAATATATTTTTTTGGGTACAAATCTAAGTACAGATTTTATTTTTGGGTACAAATGTAAGTACTTTTTTTTTGTACAAATTTGAGTGCAGATATTTTTTTGGGTGCAAATTTAAATGCAGATGTTATTGGGGTACAAATTTGAGTTCAGTTTTTTTGTACAAATTTATACGCAGATATTATTTGATTACAAATCTATGTACATATTTTTTTGAGGTAAGAGTTTAAATGCATATATAATTTGGGTACACATTTAAGTGCAGATAGATAAATAAAAAAGAGTGTCTTCTCTGTGGTTTGCAAACATACAAACACGCCCCGCCCCGCATTTGTATCTCAACTGGTCCAAAAAGAAGATATCGAGCCCGTAGATTCCGGGGCCGAATCTCGGTAGTGACTGTGTGTGAGTTATATTCTTTGTAATTGTTTCTTGTGCGTACCGAACACGAGACAGGCTCTACAAAAACCAGATTGAGATTATACTACTACTTCCGATCTTAAAAAAAAGAAAATTCGATTTTGTGGTCAAATAGTATCTCTTTAACAAAAAATCAAAGCCAAAAAAATTTTTAAGACCGAAAATAATATGGCTCCCCTCAGTAGCTGGGATGGACGTTTCACCTTTTTTTCAAATACACAAAGACGTCAAAATGGATGCCGTTAGGATTCATTGAATCTGCGCTGCGTGGAGAAGAGTGGACCACGACGGAAAGTCACGTTCAAATACGGAGTTTTTATTTTTATTTGGTTGGGTCTACCAAATCTTATATGGTGTTGAGCATTCAATTCAAATTATTCATGAATAATTATTTATGTTGTACTCGTTCCTAATAATCAAAATTATTTTTTTTCAGTTTACGATGTTTGATTGAAATTATTTTTAAAATAATTTTTCTGATAATTTAGATGAAATTAAAAAAATAAAATTTACATATTTAAAAAATATACTTCCTCCGTTCTTTTAAACACTTCCTATTTTGACTTTGTGTCAAAATAAGGAAAGTGTAATTTTGGCTGACTTTCCAATTTTTCTCCTGATGTGATGGATACAAGTAAGATGTGATAGTTTGGTTATTAGTTAAAAAGTATGATGTGGTAGGTACGATATGAAAAAGTATGGGTAAAAGTGGTTTTTTTAATAAAAAGTGGAAGTGTTTTAGGAAATTGGAAAAAAACGAAAGGGTGAGGGTTTTATGGAACGGAGGGAGTAACAAACATTATACAAAATAAGAGCTAATACGATTATATTATTTTATTAAAATAACAAAATAGAAAAAGATTGTGAATAAAATTTGACCAAGTGAATAGAAAACATAGGTCAATAGTTTTAATACACTAAATGGAAAATATGAATTAAATAAATGTTTATCAAATACGGAGTATATATAGGTTAAATATTTTTCAATCGCGTAAGTATTTCACATTTGTTGAATAATTTTTAACAAACATGCTCATTATAAAATAAAAAATGCGTCCTTGGTATTGTATATATACATAATGTCACAATGTTTAGGCCGTGGGGTATGGGGGATCGGAGAAGTCGACATCGCCCACCTGGCAGCCAATCCTGACGGGAACACGTACCCCCGATCAGCGTTCAGTGTTAGAATGCTCTACACGCCGAACGCCCTGACTCACACCCATCCTTTTTTTGTCTTTTCAATATTTGACCGTCGCAAACTTAAAAAAAATGAAAAAAAATTGAAAACTGAGCGTTAGGTCAAAAAAATCCACTCTATTTAAACATACCTCTTCTACCCAATTATCATTTAGTTTTTTAGTTTATTTAATTATTTAAATTAAAATTTTAAAAGTAAATGAAATGTTATAAAAATAGTATAAAAAAAGAATAATGATGCAATGATTATGACACGCCTGAATGGGGATGTAATGAAAAAAGCTGATATGACACGCCTTAATGATACTTATATTAATTATTTTAGAAAATGGAGAATTCAAAAATGAGATTCATTGTATTGGAAAAAAAAGGGTTGGGTCGATGTGCATGGATGGAGATGCGTCACTTAATTAATTATATATACTCCGTACCTCCCAGTATATTTGTAGAGTTTGACTCGAAAAAGTCAAACTAGTCAAACTTTGAGTTCTAATTAAATAAAAACTGTAATGTATTTTAACGTAAAAATTACTTTATTTGATTTATCATATTGAGAACTTTCAAAATTGTATTTCATTATGCTAATATGCAATATAAATTGAGAGTAATTGGAATTCAAAGTTTGTCTAGTTTGACTCAAAAAAATCAAACTGGACAAATACACTGGGACGGAGGTTGTGTGTGTGTGTATATATATATATATATATATGAAAAATGCTAGGGGTATACCAAAAGTGTACCCCATATGTCCCCCAACCCCTCCTTGTCCACTAAAAAAGGCAAAAAGATTTTTTTTAAAAAATAAGTAAATAAAAATGTATGGTGGAGAATGGATGGTGTACATTTGGTGTACTCCTAGCATTGCTATTTATATATATATATATATATATATATATATATATATACACACATACACATACATATTATTGTTATGTGTGTATCATGACAGCACAGCACAGCAAAGCAGTGGCAAAGCAAATGGTTGTCCCGTCGTTGGATCAGCCCATGAGTTTGTAGCCCATTTGAGTTCTACGTGGAACCATCAATGCATTCATTGGATTGGTTGCCATTGTCTAAATAGTTAACCACGTGTAAAAAAATGGAGGTTGTGGCCGGGATCGATTTTTAACGAAAATCGTGTAAAAGTTTAATAATTTGTGATTACTTAAATTCCACCGGATTTTTAAATACAAATATAATCATACCAGGTCATAATTTATTTCAATCAAATTAAAACTAATCAGATGAGGTGAAAAGAACAAGCCTTAAATATGGACAACAACTTGTCATTATAGACCATTTATGAAATGTAATCTTTTAAAAGTTATACTTTGTTGAGTCCATATATGATACGTCCGGCTCTATCTGAAGTAAGGTATATCCATGTAGTATTCATTTTAAAGTAAAGTAGTACTTGATGGTGTAAATTAACCATAGAGCAAATTGTACTAGATTGGATATAGAATAGTTTGCTAAGTCTAGAGAATGAAAGGTATGGGCGAACAAAGAATGATTGGTAGGACGGTTGGTGGAAACACTTGTAGTCCAATTGTTATCATGTTTGTAAGAAAGTGTCGGAAGCTATTACAAGCTTGAAGGGAAGGGAGGGGACACATCAACCCACGTTTTCAGATGACACGAGGTGACTTCCTCTTGTCCTGTAGCGTTTTGTCCTATTCCCTTATCACCTTGTGGTGATGACTCCTCCTTTGGCATGTAGTGTCCACCCGAGATTGAGGGAATATTTCCTTAATCTTTCGTTGAAAATCGATCACTACCCTCTAAATGACTTTGGAGTTATTCGTGCTGACACTTTTATACCGTAGTAACGTACTCGGTAGGTTTACCTCTCGTTTATGTTCTTAAGGCGCAGAAGACCACCAGCTTGAAGTTACATACTCTGACCGGTAGGCCTATATTTTGTATCGGTCATGAACTTTTCCGAACATGATCGGTGCGGTCTATTTTTAGTTTAAATCTTTCATTCTGACATGTTTGCAACTTGACTGGTTGGTTTCGTTGGAAAACCGGGTCCTGGGTGGAATACACTGATCAGTACTCATTCTAATACATAACATAACTGTTCATTTTGATACAACGTAGTACTCATTCCGAAATAACGTAGTGTTCATTCTGAAACAAAGTGATACTCATTCTTAAATAAAGTAGTGTTCATTCTCAACCAACTTAGTGTTTATTCCACGTTTGAGTCTT